TCAATGGTAGTTATTCCTTCTAGCAAGGGTCAACAAAAAATTGCTGTTGGTGATTTTGATGGAGTTATAACATGCTTTGGAATAAAGAAGCATCTTCCACAGATCCAATTTAAAACATTACCAAGTACTAAAATAAATCGACTAATATTAGGGGCCAAAGAAAGTACTGGGAAAGATAAAATTTATATAGCGTGTGGCACAAAAATAAAAGGTTTTACCAAGAAAGGAAAGCAATTTGTTGACTTTGATAGCAACCTCTCTGAACCTGTTCAAAGCATGTTTGTTGATGGAGTTGACTTGTTTTTATGTAGCTCATATATTTATAATCATTATCATGAAAACTCAGATCAAAATTATTATCTTGCCTCTGATAAAATAAATGATATTGTTGTATTGACAATGCCAGATGGTATGCCCTGCCTACCTGTACTTGCATGTCAAGATAGGTCGCTATGTGTAATTAATAAATCTGAAAAGTTGTTTGATATTCAAGTTCCTGGTTCCCCAATTACGTTATCCATTGGACATAATTTAGGTGGAAACCAGGCCAAAAGTGTTGTTTATGGTACTTCAGATGGCAAAGTAGGTTTAATAAATATTGATTCAAAAGGTTATGAGTTTGTTTGGGAAATTCAAAATGAAAAAAATTATGGTGATGTTTTATGTATAAATACATACGATGTTTCAAACAATGGTACGCAGGATGTTATTATTGGGCGTGCAGATGGTGTTGTAGAAATATATGCTTTTGATGAAGGTGCTGAACCATTTCAGCATTGTGTTTGCAATCTTTCAGAAAGTATTACATCAGTTTCTGGTGGTTGTGTTTGTGCAGCTAATTATCAAGAAGTTGTTGTTTCAACATACACAGGTTGGATATATGGATTAACAACAGAACCGCAGCAGCGACAACTTGGTATGCCAGGAAGCTCTACAAAAGCGGCAGTAAATACAGAACTTGATCTAAAGATAGCTGAACTTGCTAAAGAGATTGAACAATTGCAGCAGACAGTAGTTATAGAGAGAGAAAAGTATCAGGAATCAGCAAAATCTGTTACAGCTACTTCAACTATTCCTGCATTTAATATTAATGATCGTTTCATACTTAATCATGATGATGCAAGTTATAACCTAAGTATTGAGGTACAGATGCCCATTGATATTATTTTATTGCAAAGTAATGTTCCTGTCGATTTACTTGATGTTGAAAAAAATTCGGCTGTTGTCAGTTACAGCTCATGTGCTCCTGAAAGTGGAAACTTTTTATTAGCAACATATCGATGTCAAGCAAATACAACTAGAATTGAGTTAAAGATAAGGTTAGTGAAACAAGTCCTATATATATATATATATATATATATATATATATATATATTATATATATATATATATATATATATATATATATATATATATATATATATATATATATATATATATATATATATCTGTGTGTTTGTATATATATAAACAACCCTCAGAATTTAGGTTGGCATTCGGCAATGCCGACCTAACTACTGACCTAAAAGTGTTTGAGGTGGGCAAATATTGCCTCATTTTTATGTTTTATAGTAGGACCTTTGTATCGATTTTTTTTTGCCGACCTGATGCCGACCTCTAAAAGATTGAGGTCAGCAAATTATTGTTGACCTCATTTTTTCTAATTCCAAGGGTTGTATAAATATATATATATATATATATATATATATATATATATATATATATATATATATATATATATATATATATATATATATATATATATATATATATATATATATATATATATATATATATATACATCAGGCTTGGTCGGGAAGCGGGTGCGATTGCACTTGATAACTGACCATGGAAATAATATTTAGTTGCAAAAAACCGGCCAGATTTTTTAGTCGTTTTGAGAACATTCAAGTTCAAGTATGTTTCCTTGTTTGTCTGCAAAATAATTATTAAGTTATCGTAAATCTTAGAATATTTTGTATTACGGACATACACGGAAACATACATAAACTCAAACTTTGTGCAGAAAAATAAAAAAAAGAATATTCGCGAACACAAAAAACCTGCCAAATCTACTAACAACTAATTCTATTGGTTCAAAAAATACTAGCGGAAATTGTATTATTTGTAAGTTGTATTATTTGAGTTTTGTTATGTTTTTGTTGAGATTTCTAGCATAAATTGTTTTAACAATATACTATCAAACGAACTTTTATTTTAATACTATGTCATTCTTGAAGCCACATCTACAAAGCTATAAATGTTTTAAATTTATGTTTTTAAGTTCTTAGAAAGAAAAGTTTTAAAGTTCTTAGAAATTGGTTAACTAACTTCAATTATTTTTGCTTCAGCCATTCATACAAACTCGTTATACTTAACTCTTTTCTGTTTTAAATACTATTTAAAAAATGTTGCCTAATTTTATAAAAAAAAATGTAAAAGAACGACGTTTCAAAAATATTTGCTCTAATCGTATTTTTTTGCTTAAAGTTTTTTGCGTTAAAAGCTGTTTTCTTTTTTTAACTGTCTCTCAATGGTCCAGTTAATCTTGTTGCGCTTTTTTGTTTGTTTTTGAAATGTTCTCAAAATGACTAAAAAATCTGGCTGGTTTTACGCAACTAAATATTATTTCCGTGGTCAATTATCAAGTGCAATCACACCCGCTTCCCAACCAAGCCTGATACATATATATATATATATATATATATATATATATATATATATATATATATATATATATATATATATATATATATATATATATATATATATATATATATATTTGTATGTGTACTTTTTTTTTTACAAACGATAATGTTCTGTTATAAACATTTTTTAATTAGTATGAATAATAAACACCATAAATTAGTAAGTGACTAGGGGCTTGGTTAAACAATAATATTAACATAATGAGATTTTATTGCATAATGAAAACATGTAGCACTAATAAATGTAACTTTAACACAGCTTTGATATTTACATTGTTAAAAGTTCAATTATGTCATTAATGGGTTTTAAAGTACAGTGTTGAAGTTAATTTTAATTTTAAACCGCGTTAAAAATTATTTAAACTAATTTAACAATATTTACTAATGAAATCTAAACTTGGTATTAAAAAAAGATTATATTTCCTTATAATTTATTTCCTAAAGCAGTCTTATACTTAACATAATCTTTTGTTTGTTTACCTTTACTTGTTTTATTTTTGTGTTAGATGTAATATTTTAAATAATTCTCTAAAACTATCTATATATAAAAATAAAATTATTCTCTAAAACTATTTATAAAAATTCTCTAAAACTATCTATAAATTAACAATTTATAGATAGTTTTAGTTTTTAGTTACAAGTAAAATATTCGTAAAGTCAAAATGAGTAAATGTCAAAAGAACTTTATGCGGTATTGAATTAATAAAAAATAAAAAATTTATAAACATTTGTGAAAAGAATTTTCTTAAACAAAACACTTTCGCCTTTTTACAACAAAAAAAAGTTTTTAATTTTCTTTTGACTTATGTTTTATGCAATAAATTAGCAGATGATAAAAAAAATTTCTTTATTAAATAATGTAAAACTATTTTACATTCTTTTGGAACTAAGTTTTACATTCATATTTTAATGTTTTAAATTCCTTTAAAACTAAATTTAACTTTTTAAAATTATATTTAATTTAAAGTCTTTTAATTAAAAAAAGAATTTTTTTCAAAATATTCTATTTCTTTAAAAATTTCACAGTTGCAGTTAAATTCTTTTTTTTTTTTTTACAATTTAATATCTTCTAAATAAACATCACATAAACGATATTAAAAGATAAATTAAATATTCTATAATAAAAAAGTTTAGTGTAAAAGTGCATAAGTGAACATTTACGAAAATTCCTCTTTCATACATAAAATGCAAGCTGCATAACGCTTCTTAACATGGCCTGTTAATAACTGGGGTTAAAATAGAATTTGTAAAATATTTTACAGCTGTAAATTAGTTTGAGATTGTCACATAAAACAAAGGTGGTTTCTTGTTCCTGGAATTGTTGAACATATGTAGAGCATGTTCTTCTAAATTTAAACTTATGCTGTGTAATATAATTGCATCATTTAAAATGTATATAAAATGTGTTTCTTTGATATTTTGTCTACACCAATCATACATTTTCTCTGTTAAATTAATAAGATATATCAGTGATTGTAAACTTGCCTTTTCTTCAAGTTGCTTGACAGCTTCCAACACCGTCATAAGCCTCTTCTGGTGTGATGTAGCAAAAATAAATGTCATTCTGTAGCTACCTTATAGTCTTGTTCATGTTGATAGGTTAGATATAATTTTTATATTATAAATATATACTATCACAGAAATAAATGCAATGATTGAAGTAAAGTATTTACTATTTTAAATGTTTTATTACCTCATGAATGAAATAATGAACTGAGTTTTATGTTGCAAATAATCTAAGATGACACACTTTTAAGTTTTATCTCATTATCTCCTATAAATTAAATAACAAAAGGATCAGTCTTGCTTGACTTTTATTCCAATCAAATCCTTGTACTGCATTCTTAATTTAAAAACTGTAGCTTTCATCAAAGTCTAGTTGTATTAAAATATATTTAGATAGTAATATGATTCTTAGATGCTGTAATTATGCTTCCTATTTAGTGATGGTCTAAAACGTAAAACATAATTTTGTTAGCTTTTTGCAACTGACTAAATGTTATTTCTTCAATGTTGGACTCTATAAAGAAAGTAGTAAGGTACTCTTTTAGTGTAATTAATGTAATAATCTCAACTGTCATATACAACTAATGTCAGGAGATCTTTATAGTCTGAAATAGTATTAAAAAATTGAAATATCTGTTATGCTAAAAGCATGTCAGATATTTCAGTTATGGATTTTTATGGTACTCACAAACAAGATCTGAAGCTCCTCCAAAAGAAATACACTATTTTTGTACAAGTTCAAAATTCATTTTTTTAAAGTCAATAGCCTAATGTTTATATGTGTTCTAGTGATGTAAATTTTCTGGAAAATTTTGATTTAAAATTTACAGGTAAATTTTAAATAGGAATGGGTAAATTTTCCGTAAAAAATTTTTTGTCAAAGATAAATTTTTTTTTTTTTTTTAAAGAGAAAACTAACAACTAAGAAACCATTATGTCTTATCAAAGAATTCATCCACATAGAAATATGTATTTTTTAAGTTGGTTTCCCGTTTCCAACCTAACCAATAAAGCTAACAAGCTTCAACCACATAAATGTTTTTTCAAGTAAATTTGCGGTCGTAAATAATGTATACAGTCTGTGTTTTGTTGTTTATATATTAATAAAGCTGTATTGAACATGGTGGTCATTGTACTCAGAACTAATTTCTAATGATGGGAGCACTCTACCACTAGACCACTAGCGCATTTATTTAAGCAGCCATTTTTGACCATACTTTCACATCAATACATACACTGAAAAAATGCTTTAATATTATTTTAAAATTAGTAGTTCCTTATGAAAAAATTTGTAGATTTAGAATATAGCATTTCATATCGAGGTTCTAAAGTATGGAATACCTTTCAAAAAGGATTCAAAGGTCCGGTAAATTCGTTAAGTTCATTCAAGTTTATAACAAAAAAAGAAATTTTTAAAATTTGAGAAACTTTTTTGGTTAATGTTACCACTCTACCTTTTGTTGTTGTTGTTGCTTAACAATCTTATTAGTGAATTATGCATTTTATTACGATATTTATTACAATATTTAATTGAAATTTTATTATGTATATTTTTTACAAAATTTTATTATGTAATACGATATTTTATTGAAATTTTGTTAAAGGGGCTCTATGAAAAGATTGCGATGACGTACTGTCATCCTCATCTTCTTTGAGCCCCTGTCTGTTTTTACTTACTTTTTTTTTTTTATGAAGCACGAAGTTGTAAAATTATTATGTTATAAAACCGAAAAAAAAAAAAATTACATAGCATTACATAGATGTAATGCTACAGAAACGCCTGAAGAAAAGGCATACAGGGGGAACATAGCGACTTTCAAAGATAAAATTTCATTTATCTCAAAAGTAGAAATGAGTGGCATGTGCCTTTTTTCCCCTGTAGTCTTCATATATCAGTCACTGATAAGAATAAATATTTTCAGTGAACCAAGCTTTAAAAATCGTCAATCTATAAAAAATCTTGTAAATTTAAATTTATCATAAATTGGGTATTCGTTTATAGTAAATTTTCACCATTGTATATAACTTTTATAAGTATATTTGATCCTATCAAAGTTATGATGTAACAGCTGTTAAAAAATACACATTTGACCGCGAGCCACACT